GCCAGGTCTGATGGCCCAGCTGGCAACCACTGCTGCCGGCGTGGCTGGGAGTTCTGCCGTGGGCCACACTCTGGGTCACACCATCACGGGGGGGCTTCAGTGGAGGAAGCAGTGCTGAGCCCTCAAGGCCTGAATCACTTTCCAGGAGGCTCAGGGAACCTAGCCGGCACAGCTGCAGCAGAATGGCCCCTGCTTCTATGAGGTGAAACAGTTTTTAGAGTGTGCCCAGAGCCAGGGTGACCTTAAACTTTGTGAGGGTTTCGTCAAGGTGCTGAAACAGTGCAGATTGGCCAGTGGATTAGCTTAATCAAGAAGTGCCAACTGAAGACATGAAAGATCACCTCTCATGACCATGTTGATTTAGCAATTAAAGTAAAATTAATAGTGAAGATAAGAAGTGTGAGACCACCTGTTAAACTTCTCCTTAATCTTTATTAGCTTTTGTGCTTCAGGATTACAGTGGAAGAGGGTATTGCCACTATATAGAAGTTCATTGAGATGGTATTGAGTTTGGGGTTGGGCAGAAGAGGCAGTTGTGGACTCTTAAATGTGCTTTTCTGATGTTATTGTTTGTGAACTAATTAGAATAAAGTGATTTTCTTTCTAAAAAAAAAAAATACTAGAGTGGATTGCCATGCCCTTCTGCAGGGAATCTTCCCAACCCAGGAATCAAACCCTGGTCTCCCTCATTTCAGGCAGATTCTTTACCATTTGAGCCACCAGGGAAGCCCAGACAAAACTTGGGTGTATCCAGTAAGCCTCAAGCAAAGTGGTCTGTAATGTCTTTTTTTGTTTTTTTGTCCACACCGAGCAGTATGTGGAATCTTAGTTCCTGAACCAAAGATTGAACCCAAGCCCCCTTCAGTGGAAGCATAGGGTTTTAACCCCTGGACCTCCAGGGAAACCCCAAATCTTGTTATTTTTAATGTGTGGCCATTCAGAATAATTGCCCTGGGCGTGCAGTGTGCAGAAACAGGGTGAGTATTGATAAAATCATGGGAATGGGAACAGGGAGCACAGAGCTAAAACTTCCAGCTCTTCTCAGGGGTTCGATGGTGTAAGAAACAGTACGGTCAGGTAGAAATCGTGGCTGTGTGCCAGAACCACCAGGCCTGTCTCATCTCTGGATCTGCAAACCTTTAAGGAAAGTGCCCCCTGATTCCCATCTCCATAGACCAGGGAGTTGAGAGGACAAGGGAGCATGAAGAATAAAAATATTAATGACCAAGAAAAATGACTGTGCAAGAGATTACATATTTTACAAAGTTTTTTCTTTAGTGCATTTTAAAATAAATTTCACATAAAATGTAACCTCCTTGCCCCCCAGTCATCTACCCACCAGTGTCTGCAGCTCACCATGCACCAAGTTTGGGGAGCAGGCTTACACTCTGCCCTCATCTCTCCGGCTGTGGAATTTCTTGGGGGGCCCCTCCTGATCTTACACATCACTGGGCTTGGCAAGAGGGTTGGGGTCCTAGTTCCTGGTGTTGGCACTTGAGACTCCCCCCACACCCGCCATACCCCATCTACCCTCCAGATGTCCTTGTCTCCAGGTGACCTTGATACACCCTCTTTGGGGAGCAATTTGAACTTATCTGTCAGTGAGGGGGGGCTTCCCGGGTGATGCTAGTGGTACTGTGAAGAACCTGCCTGTCAATGCAGGAGACATAAGAGACGTGGGCCCTATTCCTAGGTTGGGAAGATCCCCTGGAGGAAGGCATGGCAACCCACTCCAGTATTCTTGCCTGGAGAATCTCATGGACAGAGGAGCCTGGCGGGCTACAGTCTATGGGGTCTCAAAGAGTTGGCCATGACTGAAGTGACTTAGCACACAGCACATCAGTGAGCAGAGACCTGCCTTTCCTGGACACTGTCCAGAGCAACTGCAGTCGACAGGGCAGGCAGTTGGGACAGCGTGGGTAGCAAGGTCAAGGTGACTGGAGAAGGAAATCCTGCGGCCGCTGCAGGAGATGCAAGAACTCACCTCTGGGGACTTCTCCTGGTGCTCCTGGAACCGTTCACCTCTGACTGGGGCTTGAACCTATTGAATCAGGCTAGAACTCACGGTCTTCCAGCTAAGATCACAGCACCTGGTTTAAGGACTTAATGAAGCTTGGGTTCTTGATGTCTCATCGCAGGAAGAATTCAGTGAGAGACAAAGTGAGGCAGGAAGTAGATTTATTACTATAGGACGCTTGGAAGAGACGCAGGCGGGCACGCGAGGGAGCTCTGCCCTGAGGATGAATTGGGCTGCAATTTTAGAGTCAAAGGAGGGGGGGGCGGGGAAGACTGTCTCCCTCGAGTAGACGTGAGGCTCACAGCACACTAGCTCTTCCTTCATTTCGGGCAGGAGAACATCTGACCCCCTGAGGTCAACTCAGAACATTGTGATGCTTGTTCAAATCAGTGAAGGGCGGTGGGGCTTCCCAGGTGGCACTCAGCTCAGTTCAGTCGCTCAGTCAGGTCTCCCCGTCCATCACCAACTCCCAGGTGGCGCTAGTGGTGAAGAATCCGCCTACCAATGCCGGAGACTCAGAGACACGCGTTCAGTCCCTGGGTAAGGAAAATTCCCTGGAGGAGGAAATAGCAACCTGCTTCGGTATTCTTGCCTGGAAAATTCCGTGGGCAGGGGAGCCTGGCGGGCAACAGTCCATGGGGTCACAGAGTCGGACGTGACTGAGCATATATACATACATAAAAGGGTGGTGACATTTTTCTTCCACCTAATGGCCTGGGGCGTATCTCATGCTTTTATTTTTGGCTTTATAGTTAAGCATACTGTTTCATTCCACAACATTCCAATAGCTTACATGAGTGATCATTAACTTACAGTAATCTCCCAAAAGTTCCTAGGGTTCCCTCTCTACTTTATCCATAGTCCCCTCCTGGAATTTCCATAGTCACCTGTATAACTATCCTATTCTGTCCCTATCAGTCCAGTGGTTAGGGCTCCACACTTTCACTGCCATGGGCCTGGGTTTGATTCCTAGTCGGAGAACTAAGATCTCAGAAGCCATGTGGCATGGCAAAAAAAACCCCAAAACCATAAAAACTCACCTCTAGTGAATCCCACAAGTATTAAGTATCCAACTCTTTCTGACACTTTGGACCATAGCCCACCAGGCTCCTCTGTCCATGGAATTCTCCAGGCAAGAATATTGGAGTGGGTTGCCACCCCCTTCTCCAGGGAAATTTTCTGGGTCTGCTATGCGCTGGGCCCTGTGCCAATCTCGAGGAAGAAGCCCAGTCGTGAGCACGCCACACTGAGATCTGAAGAAAACCCCTATGTTTCCCCAGAAAAGTACACCTGTGGTGGCCCATCAATAGCCCGCTTTTCCAGATATGTATTTGTTTGCATGCGTGCGTACTCAGTCATGCCTGACTCTTTGCAACCCCATGGACTTCAGCCCACCAGGCTCCTCTGTCTGGGGGATTCTCCAGGCGAGAATACTGGAGTGGGTTGCCATTTCCTCCTCCAGGGGACTTTCCCGACCCAGGGAGCGAAACTGCATCTCTTGTGCCTTCTGAATTGGCAGGTGGACTCTTTACCACTGAGCTAACCTGGAAAGCCCCATTTATTTATGTAAATATATGTATATAATGTAGGTATATCCATATGTGTATATATGCATATAGATTTTTTCCACTATTGGTTGTTACAAGATATTGAATATAGTTTCCTGTACTATACAGTAGGTCCTTATTGTTTGCCAGTTTAATATATAGTAGTTTGTGTATGTTAATTCCAAACTCCTAATTTATCTTTTTCCTTGACCCCCCCATCCCCTTTGGTAACCAAAAGTTTTTATCTATGTTCGTGAGTGTGTTTCTGTTTTGTAAATAAGTTCATTTGTGTCATTTCTTTTTAGAGTCCAGATAAGCGATAAGATCACATCACTTATATCATACAATATTTGTATTTCTCTGTCTGGCTTACTTCACTTAACATGGTAATCTCTAGGTCCATCTACATTGCTGCAAATGACGTTATTTTATTCTTTTTTATGGCTGATTAGTATTCCGTATATATACATATATATAATACACACGTCTTCTTTATCCATTCATCTCATGATGTACATTTAGATAGTTTCTATGTCTTAGCTATAGTGAATAGTGCTGCTATGAACATTGGGGTCATCACAGCCCATTTTTGTTTATAATCCATGATGTTCTTACACCTCTTCATTGAGATGGTTAGAGACTCTCTAATAAGTTGGGTCCATCTGTAGATATGTTGGATTCTGATATGTACCATGCACCAAGATCATAAATAATTCTTACAGGTATAACAAAGGAAGACCATAATAACAAACAGTAAAAATAATAGTAGTAATGGCAGCCAGTATTATCTGGGCACTTATGATATGCTAAGCATTGCAGCATTGCTTGAAACTCTTCAGTGTGAATTAGTTCCTTCAATTATTACAGCTACCTGCTGAAGTAAATACATCATTAGCCCCATTTTACAAATGAGAGAACTGAGTCAAAGAGAGGTTAAGTGACTTCCCCAGGGTCACACATGTGCTTAGTCACTTCAGTCCTGTCTGACTCTTCACGACCCCATGGCCTGCTAAGCTCCTCTGTCCATGGGATTCTCCAGGCAAGAATACTGGAGTGGGTTGCCACGCCCTCCTCCAGGGGAATCTTCTTGACCCGGGGATTGAACCTGCGTCTCTTGAGTCTCCTGCATTGGCAGGCAGGTTCTGTACCACTAACGCCACCTGGGAAGCCCAAGGTCACACAGGGAGGGTTCAAATCCAGGAACCTAGCCTCAGAGGCCACAGCACCGTGCTGCCGCCCACAGAGATGCTGAGAGAATGGGTGGAGAAGGGGCTGAGGGAGGAGCTTTGGGGTGGATGGCACAGGTGCCTTCCTGCTCTGCCGTGAGTCAGAAGCCCTGCTTGTTTTCTGAGGACAGGTCAGCTTACCCCCAGAGATTGTGTTATCCATGCAGCCCGGACCTAAGACCACAGCATTTCCTCTGCTTTTGCTTCCAGGAGCTGGAGAAGCTAGGGCTTGGGGACAGCGTGGATCTACATGTGTATGAGATTCCGGTGGAGTATCAGACAGTCCAGAGGCTCATCCCTGCCTTGTGGGAGAAGCACAGTCCCCAGGTAAGCGGGGCAAAGGTGAGTGGGGTAAAGGTAGGTGCTTCCCTATCAGGATCTGCGCTGGTTGCCCCAGGCATGGATGGTTTGTGTGGCTTTGTTTCTGTTCTGATCACATGGTTGATGGCCACAGCCTTATCCCCCCAAGTGCCACACTTTTCTGGGTTACCCTTGGAGGTGAGAGAGGAAAGCAAACATCTGAAACTTCACAGAGGCTGATTCTGTCCCACTAGAGTTCTGTATCAGTCATGACATGTTCCGTTATAAGTGACAGTCAAAACATACCTCAACCCAGCTTGAGCATCAACATTTGTGTGCTTCAGGTATAGCTTGATCCAGGTGCTCACCCAGTGTCATCAGCCTCCTCTCTTGACCACTCATCTTTGCTTTGCACTTTGCTTTTGTTTTGGCAATGATAGGTGGCTGCTGACTGATATCCTCCCAACTCAGCCCCTCAGCAAATAGAGAACACCTGTCCTCCAAATAATTCCCCAAAGTCTATAGCTGATTCTCATTGGCCAGCTTGGGTCACAGTCCAGCCCCTGAGTCAGTCACTATGGCTGGGGAAGAAGGAATGCTGTAATTTGTGAAGCCTGGATCCCACATGCCCACTCTGGTGCCCAGAGGATGGTGTCACCTCTCCCCAAACCTCCTAGAATGAGCAGGAGTCGGGAGGGAGTGGTGTTTCACAAAGGGAGAATGGCTGTGGGAGGGAGCTGTGGTTTTTAACCAGATGTGATGGACTGGAGGCCGGACAGGCAGGGATCACACCCTCCTACCAGAGGTAGTTGTGGCCCAGCCAAGACCTTGGGCACGAACTGTGTGGAAACTTGGCTGGTATTTCTGACAAGTGAGGTCCCAGTCTCCTATGGGGGCCCCAGTTTTCCACTCTAGCCTGTTATTTCAGATTCTCCCGGGCTGGCTCGAGGCATCTTGCTTTCTAAGGAGCCCTCTCAAGTGGAATTTGCCTGTTTTTACAGAGGGGGGCCTGGAGGCTTAGCAAGAATTGGCTGAAGTTTCTTTGAGTGAGCTTTTTCCTCTACTGTGTCTAGGCATCCCTGCCTTATTCTAGTTAAAAAGAAAACCTCATGCATGAAAATGTTTTTAGGAAACTTCACACCGTACAGAAAGGCTTCCGCATGCCTCAGTTTCCTTCTGTGACAGGTGGAAATAATAATAGTCAAGATTCAACCCAGCACAGATCAAAAATATTTTTAAAAGAATTCCAGGGAATTTCCTGGTAATCCAGGGGTTAGGACTCTATGCTTCCACACCCTGGGTTCCATCCCTGGTTGAGGAACTAAGATCCTACAAGCAATGCAGGGCAGGGAAAAAAAAAATCCTGAAAGTTCCAAAAAGCAAAATTTGAATTTCCTTGAGCGGCAAGCTATTTATTTACATAGCATTTACATTCTGTTAGGTATTATAAGTAATCTGGAGGTGATTTCATGACTATAGGAAGATGTGAGTAGGTTATGCAAATACTAGGCCATTTTAGATAAGGAACTCGAGCACCCCCAGATTTTGGTATCCAAGGGAAAAGAGGGGACTTGGAAGCTATCACCGGTAGATACCAAGCCAAGGAGTGACTGTAGCACTGAAATTCTACCACACAGTTCAGTGTGTGTACGGGATTATCCGCACACCGTGAAATTCCTGGACAGCAGCTGGAGTCCTCCAGTTCAGCTCAGTTCCCACACTCCAGGACTTCCCTGGCTCTCTAAGTGGTGAAGACTCCGCCCTTCCACCACAGGGGGTGTGGGTTAGATTCCTGGTTAGAGAACTCAGCCCACATGCCTCGGGTGTGGCCAAAAACATAAAAAATAAAAAGACTAAAATTCCACAGGTTAAGGACTGCCCTCCAGATTCCAATCTTTCTTTTTTTTTTTTTAAGTTGAAGTACAGTTGACTGACAATGTTGTGTTAATTTCTGCTGTATAGCAAAGTGATTCAGTTATATACACACACACAGACACATACATTCTTTTAAAGCTATTTTCCATTATGGTTTATTATAGGTTATTGACTATAGACCTTGTTGTTTATCCATTTTATATAGAATAGTTTGCAGATGGCAGTCTTAAGTCCAGGTTGTTTCCTGTGCTTCTGTCCAATTGGCTATAAATCAGATCCCTTCTTTGGGTTCAATTAATTTTGCTGAAGCGGCTCACTACTCGGGAACCCATTTACTCACTGGACTACCAGTTTACCATAAGAGCACGTAACTCAGGAATAGCCACTCAGATGAAAGAGATGCAGAGGGCCAAGTATGGGCGGAGGTGTGTAGAGCTTCCACGCCCTCTCTGAGTGCCCCATTCTCCCCAGATCTTCATTTGCTCCCTGATTTAGCAGCTCTCCCAACCCTGTTGTTGAAGGGTTTTATGTAGGCACGACTGATTAATTGCTTGGCCACTGACATCTGGACTCTGTGTCCAGGCCCTCTCCCTTCCCCTGCGGTGGGGGAGGACAGGGGTTGGAGTTCAAGGTTTCAGTGTTCTAATCAGGTAGCTGGTTCCCCTGGCAACCAGCCCCCATTCTAAGGTGCTTTCCGGAAGTTCTCTCACTGGACTTGCTCGGTGGCTCAGTGGATAGGAGTCTGCCTGCCAGTGCAGGGACACGGGTTCGATCCCCGGCCCAGGAAGATTTCACAGGCGGCAGAGCAGCTGGTCTCGTGCGCCTAGAGCCTGTGCCCACAAGACAAGCCGCTGCAACAGGAGGCCTGAGCACTGCAACCAGAGGGTAGCCCCGCTCTCCGCAACTAGAGAGAAAGCCCACAGCAACGAAGGTCCAGTGCAACCAGAAATAAGTCTTAAAAATATTTTTTAATTACCTCATTCACAAAACAGGGGGTTTCCTTGGCAGTCCAGCGGCTAGGATTCTGCACTTCCCTTGCAGGAGGCATGGGTTTGATCCCTGGTTGGGAAACTAAGATCTCGATGCCACACGACCCCCAAAAAAACACAACAGGACACCTTTATTGTTTTCATCACTTAGGGAACTCTAGGGGTTTTAAGAGCTCTGTGCCTGAAATAGTGGACTAAGAACAAATAAATATTTCTTTTTTTTTAAGATTTTTTTTGGATGTAGACCATTTTTAAAAGCTTTATTGACTTTTTTACAATGTGGTTTCTGTTTCATGCTGGGCTTTTTGGCCACAAGGCATGTAGGATCTTAGCTCCCCAAACAGGGATCAAACCCGCACCCCCTGTGTTGGAAGGCGAAGTCTTAACCACTGGATCGCTGGGGAATCCCTATATTTCTTATTACAGATCAGAATATCACCAGTACCAACATCCTGAGTTTGTGGTGGTGATGAGGGAGATGAGGCCAGAAGGGCGATAAAGGGTTCCTTAGCCCACCCCAGGATTTCTCAGCCTCGCTGGGGCAGAGCCTTCCCTGTGGTGGGCACTGTAAAAGGGGCTAAGCAGCATGCCTGGCCACCCCCCATTAGGTGCCAGGAGCTCTCTGTCTCCAGTCTGCTACCCCATAATGTCTCTAGATATTGCCAAACCCCTGGTTGAGAACTCCTGGCCTACAGCAGGCTCTCAATAATGGGTGACTGGGACCATGGTTATTGTCATCACTCACATCTTCACACACATGCACCTGCATATACAAATGTGCCCACCTACAAGTACGTTTAAGCAGTGTACTTCACCATTAGGGCTTTCCAGGTGACGCAGTGGTACAGAATCCGCCCGTAGTGCAGGAGATGCAAGAGATGAGGGTTTGATTCCTGGGTCAGGAAGATCCCCTGGAGTAGAAAACGGCAACCCACTCCAGTATTCTTGCCTGGAAAATTCCACGGACAGAGGAGCCTGGTGGGCTACAATCTATGGGGTCGGGCGCCACTCAGGCACTGAGCATGCGCTACATGGATTAGCGTGACTGCTGGAACAGATGACTGCCAACGAGATATCTTAAAACAACAGAAATTTATCTGTACACAGTCCTGGAGGGCAGAAGTCCACAGTCACAGCAGAGCTGTGGCTCCCTCCAGAGGCTCTACGGGAGGGTCCTGGCTGTCCCTTCCAGCTCCTGGGGGCTCCAAGCATTCCTTGGCGTGTGACTGCGTCACTCTGTCCTCTGCCACTGTCCTCACAGGACTTTCTCCTTCCCTCTTCCTCTGTCCCTCCTCTGCGTGTCTTTTTAAAGGGCATTTGTCCGTGGATTTCGGGTCTATCCAGATAATCCAGGGGGACTTCATCTTGAGATCCTTTACTTAATTGCATCTGGCAGGACCCTTTTCCCAAATAAGGTCCCAGTCACAATTTCTAGGTGTTAGCACAGGGACATACCTTTTCCGTGTGTGTGTGTGTGTGTGTGTGTGTGTGATGGTGGCAGAGTCACCATTTGGCCCTATAAAGTATAAACTACAGCTGCTCGTTTGTTTTTACGTTCACAGGAGATCACTGTGTTATCTGGTGCTACTGGTTTATGGAGGACCAGGTAACAGCCTTAGTGCCAGGCATCCAGTAGCAGATAAAGCAGCCCAGGAGCTTTTAATCACACAGGTCATTAAAAATTCTCCCTCAACATTATTTTAATAGCTGGGTAATATTTAGTAATTAATATAACCATTTTTCTATTATTGGGCTTGCTATTCATTTCCATGTTTTTTTTTCTTATTTTTATAAATTACATTGAAGTGACCATTGGCAGATTATTATCTCTTTGATTATTTTTAGGTTAGATTCTTAGAAATTATACCTTGCCTTTTGCATCTGGCAATATGTCTTGAAGATTATTCCATACAAAATTGCCTTGACCATAGCAGCTCATAATTTATTTAGTCAACCCCCCTCCCCATGAATGGCCAATTATATTGTTTCCAGTATTGTAATGACAAAGCTCCTGTGAACATCTTGGCATATTTCACACTCTTGCATGTTTCACCTAGCACACCTTTCTGTGAGAGTGATTGCAGGATCTATTCCCGCAGCAAGATGTCAGAAAGCACATAACCAGCAGCAGTGCTCTGTGAGGATACCGTCCCCTCCTTGGCCTGGGGGGATGCCCCAGTCCCACGACCAGACCTCACGAAGCTGTACCCGTCTGTCTGCAGCTGGTGGTGCACGTAGGCGTGTCAGGCACGGCGACCGCAGTCACGCTGGAGAAGTGTGGGCACAACAAGGGTTACGAGGGCCTGGACAACTGCCGATTCTGCCCCGGCTCCCACTGCTGTGTGGAGGACGGGCCCGAAAGCATTGACTCCATCATCGACATGGATGCTGTGTGCGAGAGGGTCACTGCACTGGGCTCAGATGTGTCAGTGACCATTTCACAAGATGCAGGCAGGTAAGGCACCATGGGGCCCCTGTGCTGTAGGTGTGAATGGGGCTTCCCTCCTATCAGCCCAGGCTGAGTGTTGAATAAGCAAAGTGTGTTTGACTGTGACCTCACTGGGCCAAGTGCTAACTTATTTATTTATTTACTTTTGAAAATTTATCACTTGATGGACTATTTATTTATTTTTAATTTTTTTTAAAGTGTGGAAGTGTGATAACACATTTACAGGAGACTTGGAGGATACAGAACAAGGTTACATATAGTTCTACTATGTGTTAGTCACTCATTCGTGTCCGACTCTTTGGGATCTCATGGACTGTAGCCCGCCAGGCACCTTTGTCCACAGAATTCTCCAGGCAACAGTACTGGAGTGGGTTGCCATTCCCTTCTCCAGGGGATCTTCCCAGGAGGATCAAAGGATCGAACCCAGGTCTCCTGCACTGCAGGCAGATTCTTTACTAACTGAGCCACTAGAGAAGCCCAGTTCCTCTATATATTACAATTATTTTTTAAGTAGATAATTTACAATTTTTAGTTGGAATTTCAATATCAAATCTTCAAAAATTAATAGAATGAATATACAGAGAAGTAGAAGGATATAATAGACCTGAAAAACACTGTGAACCAATTCAGCATAATTAAGATTTATACAATTTTCACAGAGCAGTAGGAAACAAATTCTATTTAAGTTCCCATAGAGTGTAAACTCGGAGACATTGGAACATATCCAGGGACATAAAACAAGGTACAAAAATTTCATGGTCTAAAGATATTGAAATCAAAGCACGGACTATTTAAATAGTATGGTTGAGAAGAGTCTGACATGACTGAAACGACTTAACCTACACACGTGCTGAGTTGCTTCAGTCATGCCCAACTCTCTGTGACCCCCTGGACTGAAGCCCTCAAGGCTCCTCCACCCATGGGATTCTCCAGGCAAGATTACTGGGGTGAGTTGCCACGGCCTCCTCCAGGTTTCTTCCCGACCCAGGGATCAAACAGCACCTCTTACATCTCCTGCATTGGCAGGTAGATTCTTTGCCACTGAGCCACCAGGCAAGCCCAGCACACACACATAATATTTTACACAGTAAACTTTACATAGGATTTCACAGTATATAATTCTCAACATGCATAAGGCACACAGGGATATAAAAGGCACACAGCTAAGTTATATATTCATAACAGGTCCCATCTGCAACTCATGTGTGGCTCTGCCCACTTTTCCCACCCCAGGCCCCTGGCGTCTCCTGGCCGTGGCTCCGGCTGCCTCCCTGCTGTTCCTCCTGCCACCTCTGCTCCAACCCTGATGGTCCTTCTCCCCTAAGAAGTCACTTTCTATATTAGTTTCCTGTGGCTGCTGTAACCAATCACCATGTTGGTGGCTTAGAACAACAAACATTCATTCTCTCCCAGTTTGGGGGCTAGAAGTTCAAAATCAAGGTGTCAGCAGGGCTGGTTCCTTCTGGAGGGCCTGAGGGGGAGTCTCAGACCCTCTCCTGGCTTCTGGTGGCTTCTGACAACCCTGAATGTTCCATGGCTTGAGATACTTTACCCCAAATTGCTGCCTTCATCGTGACATGGCTTCCTCCTGGTATATGTCTTCACGTGGCCTTCTTACAAGGACACCAGTCATTGGATATAAGATATAAGGTCACCAGTGTGACCTCCTCTTAACCAATTATGTCTGCAAAACTCTGTCTCCAAATCAGGTCACATTTTGATGTTCTAGGTGAACAGAAATTTGGAGGAGAAACAACTAGTCAGCCTATTAGAAAGTCTTTTACTAATTTAGGGCAGATGAAGTCCCGAACTTGCTTAATTCTTCCTGCGGTTCCCACTGCACCTCAAATAGAATCCCAGCTCTCCGCCATCCCCAGGCCCGTGTGCTCTGGCCCCTGTCCACCTCTGCAGCCTTCTCTGCCTGTAGTCTCCCCTCACCCATTGCCTTCCACACCCACAGCCCACTGTCCTCCGGCTCCTCTCACGCCCCAGGCTCACTGTAGCATCAGGGCCTTTGCACATGCTATGCCTCTGCTCAGAACTCACTTTCCGCTGATAAGACTGTTTCAGGTCTTAACTCCGCATGCTGGCTGTTTGGGAAGGCCTCACTGCCTCCCAGATTCCTCTGTTCTGTGCCCTCTCAACACCAAGTGCCTCAGTTTCTCAACACTGTGTACACCTCAGCAGCCCAAAGGCAGCAGGTAGCAAATTCAGTTGATGGAATGAAGAAGTAACTGAATTTACCATCTGTCTTTTTTTCTCTTTTTTTAATTGAAGTGTAGTTGACGTACAATATTATACATTACAGATGTACAGTACAGTGATTCACAATTTTAAAGGTGTATATACTCCATTTATAGTTATTATAAAATATTGGCTACATTCCCTGTGTTGTACAATATACCCTCTATTCTTTAGCTTATTTTATACCTAATAGCTTGTACCTCTTAATTCCCTACTCTTGCATTGTCCCTCCCCTCTCCCATCAGTCTTTTTTTAAAACTGACCTTTTTTTTTTTTGACTGGGCCACACACATTGTGGGCCCTGTCAGTGAAAGCTTGGAACCCTAACCACTAGGCAACCAGGAAACTCTCCTGAAGCTAATTTTAAGTTACTCGGATAATTCTGAAATATATTTTCATGTGTTCCCATTGTGAAAAATTCCCTTGACCTCTCTCTCTCCCCGCCTCATTCCCTGCCAGGGAGCCCTCTGTTAAATCAGAGACTTAAATTGTGACACTTCCTTCTTAGCCACACATGTTTCTATACAGTATAGGACACTACATGTGCTGCTTTTGCATTTTGTTCTGTTTCGCTTTGCTGTTATGTGGGTGAGGTTATATGGTGTGGGTTTCATGAGAGTTCCCTTCCTTGACCTCCTCTGTGGGCATGTGCTAGGGATCTTGAGTTCTGCCTTCCTGTGGATCCACCACATGCCTTGTAAACCACTGCGTGGTATCCCGCTATGCAGACGAACCAGTTTATTAAGTCACTCCTCTGTCAGTGGACGGCTTCCCTGTGGCTCAGCTGGTAAGGAATCCGCCTGCAATATGCGAGGCCCAGGTTCGATCCCTGGGTTGGGAAGATCCCCTGGAGAAGGGAAAGGCTGCCCACTCCAGTGTTCTGGCCTGGAGAGTCCATGGACTGTGTAGTCCGTGGGGCCGCAAAGAGTCAGACACGACTGAGCCTCTTTCACGTTCACTGTCAGTGGACATTTAGGTGGTATCTTATTCTATTCAGGCCTCTATAACCAAAAGAACCCAACTGGGTAGCTTGTAAACAACAGAACGTCATCGCTTATGATTCTGGAGGCAGGGAAGTCCAAGATCAAGGCGGCAGCCCGGTGGCATTCTGATGGGGCCTTCCTGCAGGGCGCAGACTGCCGACTGGCTGTGTCCCCCACGGGGTGCGAGGGGCTTGGGAGGGGACCACCAGTGTTCCATTCTAGCCGTTTGCTTCCTGTTTTTCTGTTTTTACACATCATGCTGCAGAAATACCTTGTTCATCGTTCCTCTGCTCTGGTGCACATGGTTCCTGAGATAGAGTCTAAAAACTTGAAACATCAGGTCATAAACTCTGTGCATTTGTAATTTTTTTAAATTATTTTATTTTTTAAAATAAATAAATTTTTAAAAATAATTTTTAATTATTTTTTAATTTTTTTTATTGATAGTTCTAAATACCCTTATTTTTTCTGTAAAGGGACACCAGTGCTCAGTAATTAGTTTCAGTATTTTATTTTGTTCTGGAATGACACAGCTATTCAATCAACTTTCATTATATAACTTAATTTAGTATGACTCTAAAATTTTAAGTTACTAAGTATCTGGAGAGATTATTCTTAAGTAGACATTCCTAAAATAGTTATTCCCAAAGAGTTCACCCAAAAGCTCTTATTTCATTTACATTTAATTTAGTTATAAAAATTTCATCATTCCAAGTCATTTTTCTTGCTTATAAATTTGCAACAAACATAAGATCTTATTTGACTTCTAGGTACAATAACCTAGGTACAATAAAGGTGTTATACTTAATGTTGACTCTAAAGACATGTCTATATTAATTAAATCAATAAACTTTAACTCCAGGTATTAATTTTTTTTTTTTTTAGTTTGAGTAGCTTCTTTTTTTTTTTTCCTTTTTTTTTTTCCATTTATTTTTATTAGTTGGAGGCTAATTACTTTACATCATTGCAGTGGTTTTTGTCATACATTGACATGAATTAGCCATGGATTTACATGTATTCCCCATCCCGGTCCCCCCTCCCACCTCCCTCTCCACCCGATCCCTCTGGGTCTTCCCAGTGCACCAAGTCCAAGCACTTGTCTCATGCACCCAACCTGGGCTGGCGATCCGTTTCACCCTAGATAATATACATGTTTCGATGCTGTTCTCTTGAAACATCCCACCCTCGCCTCCTCCCAGAGTCCACAAGTCTGTTCTATACATCTGAGTCTCTTTTCTGTTTTGCATATAGGGTTATCGTTACCATCTTTCTAAATTCCATATATATGTGTTAGTATACTGTAATGGTCTTTATCTTTCTGGCTTACTTCGCTCTGTATAATGGGCTCCAGTTTCATCCATCTCATTAGAACTGATTCAAATGAATTCTTTTTAATGGCTGAGTAATATTCCATGGTGTATATGTACCACAGCTTCCTCATCCATTCGTCTGCTGATGGGCATCTAGGTTGCTTCCATGTCCTGGCTATTATAAACAGTGCTGCGATGAACATTGGGGTGCACGTGTCTCTTTCAGATCTGGTTTCCTCGGTGTGTATGCCCAGAAGTGGGATTGCTGGGTCATATGGCAGTTCTATTTCCAGCTTTTTAAGAAATCTCCACACTGTTTTCCATAGTGGCTGTACTAATTTGCATTCCCACCAACAGTGTAAGAGGGTTCCCTTTTCTCCACACCCTCTCCAGCATTTATTGCTTGTAGACTTTTGGATAGCAGCCATCCTGACTGGCGTGTAATGGTACCTCATTGTGGTTTTGATGTGCGTTTCTCTGATAATGAGAGATGTTGAGCATCTTTTCATGTGTTTGTTAGCCATCTGTATGTCTTCCTTGGAGAAATGTCTATTCAGTTCTTTGGCCCATTTTTGGATTGGGTCATTTATTTTTCTGGAGTTGAGCTGGAGGAGTTGCTTGTATATTTTTGAGATTAATCCTTTGTCTGTTGCTTCGTTTGCTATTATTTTCTCCCAATCTGAGGGCTGTCTTTTCACCTTGCTTATAGTTTCCTTTGTTGTGCAAAAGCTTTTAAGTTTCATTAGGTCCCATTTGTTTATTTTTGCTTTTGTTTCTAAAATTCTGGGATGTGGGTCATAGAGGATCCTGCTGTGATTTATGTCGGAGAGTGTTTTGCCTATGTTCTCCTCTAGGAGTTTTATAGTTTCTGGTCTTACATTTAATTATTTTTTAAAAAATTATTAAGGTATAGTTGAGGGGTGGGTGGGGAGCGGGGCGGAAAAAAAAAGTATAGTTGATTTACAATATTGTATTAATTTCTGCTGTGCAGCAAAGTGATTCAGTTATATACATGTCATATCTGTGTGTGTGTGTGTGTGTGTGTGTGTGTGAAAGTTGCTCAGTCGTGTCCGACTCTTTGCCACCCCATGGACTGTAGCCCACCAGGCTCTCTGTCCATGGAATTCTCTAGGCCAGAATACTGGAGTGGGTAGCTGTACCCTTCTCTAGGGCATCTTCCCAAACCAGCTATTGAACCCAGGTCTCCCACATTGCAGGTGGATTCTTTCCCATCTGAGCCACCAGGGAAGCCCATATCTATGTGTATGTATGTGTATATATATATATATATACACACACACACACACGGTATAAATATACATATATTCTTTTTTGTATTCTTTTCCATCATGGTTTATCACAGGACATTGAATATTGTACACCTGTAATTTTACTAGCCTGCCAGATTGCCCTCCCCTGGGGCAATTTGCATCCCAATCAACAGTGTCTCATATTGCTTCTTTCTCCACATATACACCAGCACTTGGAGTTACTGTGTTTTTTTTTTTTTTTTTTCATTTTTGCTGCCTGGGGAGGGAGGAGCAGTATTCCATCTTGCAGCTGACTGGTGAGGTTGAGGGGCTGTCTTCTGATGGATTTGGATGGAACATTCACTCTAACCCCATTTTGGTCTCCCTCCCATCCCCCATGCCCTCTGGCTTAGGTACCTCTGCGACTTCACCTACTATACCTCGCTGTACCAGAGTCACGGCCGCTCGGCCTTTGTTCATGTGCCCCCTCTGGGCAAGCCGTACAATGCAGACCAGCTGGGCCGGGCGCTTCGGGCCATCATTGAGGAGATGCTGGACCTCCTAGAGCAGTCAGAAGGCAAAATCAACTGTTGCCATGAACACTGACGGCTGCCCAGGCCTCCCAAGACCTCATCCTGCCGAGGAGCCTGGGAGAGACGTCCGCCCCCCGGGCCCTGACCGGGCAAGACAAGCGCATCCAGCTGGGGATCTGATTTGGATCAAATGTGCCAGCTTGCACACCTCCTCTCCCTTTTTCTCTGTGTAAGCGCTGGTTGGTTGGAAGGCAGCAACTGAAGATTTTTTTTCTATTTCTCTTTGCACCTGGGGATACAGCTGGGGCAGTCAGGAAGCTGGGAAGTCCTGATTTCTACTGAGAACCCCGATCAGGTGGATCTCCACTCTGGGATGGCTGGGGCCACCTGCTTTTCTAAGTCTGTGGTGGAAGGATTCCAGAATTCCCTCTGTCCATGACTGGCTTTTTTTCCAAATTGAAAATCCTCACGAAGACCCTTTGCCCTGATCCATGTCCCAACAGCCTGGACAGCTCCGGCAAGGACCAACTCGGGATCTGGCACGGGTTCTTTTTCTTTCTTTCTTATTCTGTTTTTAAAAGCAGTAGTGCCAGTTTGGGCACAGAGTTATTTATATTCCCTTTGGTTAAAATACGGGCTTTAGCCGAACACAAAAGTGTCTTTTCTCTTTGCTGGAGTGTAGCCGCTTCTGCCTCTGGCTTTGAACACTGGACCTACATTTTTTGTTTTGGGGGTGACATTAAGATCCCCTTGTTCCGCGGGGGTGGAGGCTAGGCCCTTGGCCAGACCACGGGGAGAGGGAGTTGCTGCTGCCCCAGGAGACTGAAGGGGTTGGCTAATCCTTTAACAACCGAGCTGTGAGCTGTGCCCATAGGACCTCCGGAGGTGGGCCACTGGTGGGAAAGCAGACTGTCATTTCAACGCACACACTTTTATTTTTTAATATGTAAAAGTGTGTAGCAACTAGAAACCTACCCCACGTCTGAGCTGGATCCTCAGTCTTGGTCTGGGGGCCCAGCTTCTTGTTTCCCTTAGGAGAGGGGCAGAATGGAGGCTGGCGCTGGGCTCCGCGTGTACTGGTGTGTTTGGCCGGAAGGGCTGCAGGGCGGCCAGCGAGCTTTCGTGCAGCTTAGTTTTGGACACGCCTTGGACTTGGTGACTTTTTATCTCACTCCTTGATGATTTCGAACTGACCAGCCAGGGATGCGCGTCTCCCAGGAGGCACCTAAATTCAGCGGGGCCTTGACCCCCATCAGAGAGAGGGGCTTGGCAGCAGCAACCGTGAGGAAAACAACCGTCTGCAAAGTATCCCTCTGTTTCTTTGGAGAACACACAGTTTGATCTCTTCCCTGTGTGTGAGGCGTGCTGGTGTCTGATGTGGTGTTAGATCACGTTGGTGTCTCCCAGCAGGCGGTTCTTCTGAAAACAGCGGAGATTTCTGTTTTGTTTTCTTATGTGTTCGCCCTCTTTCCCTCCTGTTCCGAAGCCCAGGGTAGCTGCTGCCTCGGCTGAGCTTCTGTGCCTCTCGGAGACCAGGTTGATGGGTTTCTGAGTGAAAGGCGTTTTCTGAGTCCTGTGTTTTCTCTGGAAGGGAAGAGTGACGTGGGGTCAGCAGATGGCAGTGGGTGTGGACCATGCCCTGCAGGGTGAAACGATCGGGGCCTTCTCCCTCCTCCATGCCAGCCCTCCCTCTTCCAGAACTCCCTCCTCCACACCCCAGTCTGCCTTCGCAGTCTCCTGAGGAGTCTGGGTGCAGGACGTCATTGATCTACTCCGTCAGCCAGCTTCTGTGAGTGGAGCTTGTGGCTTTTTTAAATGAGGGTCTCCCAGAGGTCTCACTCAGAATGGCATTAAACTCTAATGAGCTCTCTTCTCTAAAGGTCTGAGGGGGGAGGCTCTGAGGAAGAAATGGGCCTAGGCAAGCTGCAGAGGGAAGGGCGGACTGGAAGTGAGTCAGGTTTGAGCTAAGCTGGGCACCCACTGGAACCCAGACACACCATCCCCAGGCTCTGCATTTTCATCTTTCTTTTGTCCTCATTTCTTCTCTCTGTTTAAAGCAACATGAGATTTAGCCACTTAGAGATAATAACTTATTGTCTGATCATTATCGTGTGTGCATGTCATTTTTGTGTTCCTGCAACGGTGTTAGATCTCCTTATCGAGTCAAGCCAAAGCCTTGTCCTTGTTCACAATGCAGAGCATATAGCTCGTCTTTATTCAATCAGACAGCCATTAAATATTTCACTTGCTCCCTGCCAGCTTTTTAATGTTCCTGTTTTAATTTACCTTTTTCCTTTTGGGCAAATTCATCCCTTCACTCCATGGCGTATCTGTCTGCATTTGTTGAGTCCTGGACTGAAATGTCCTTGTGTAAGAAAGAGGGGCCAAGTCCCGTTACTTCTCCCTTGTCATTTCAGAGTCTCAGATTGAGGGGGCGGTGGGGCGCAGAACAGGCAATGGGATGGTTCTGTGAAGTGGGCGCAGCCTGGAAGATATGAAGGTGAGCGATGCCAGAAGGGGTGGGTACAGTAAGTGTTAACAGTGGAAAGATGGGCTAAGCAATGTCGTGGGAAGGCTGGTAGAGGAGAGGTGAAAAGTGATGCTGAAAAGTGGAGGGGGTCCTGTCTCTGATACGCTCCTGTGGAAGGTACAGAGGTGGGGGATGGTGTTAGGTAATGGCATCTCCCTTAAGATGCCAGAACCTCTGCCCCTTACAACTTTATTCTTTTCTTAGCCACTTTGCTTTCCCCCTTCCCACCAAAGAGAAGGTCGGTGGTCTGTGCATGAGTATGTAGTTTGAAAAAGAAATTTAAAGGAGTGGATAGAAAGCAAGCAAGGTGGAAAGAAGCAGCAATGCCAGTGGGTGAACCTGGAATTCCAGCGGTACGACCTGGCTCATGTGGTCCGACCTGGCTCATGTGGTCCAGTCGAGAAACAGTCAAGGTGCCCTGGTCACTGAGAGACACAGGGCCGCGGGGCAGCGGGGGAGGCGGGAGCCCCCAGTCAGGGCCACGTCTTTGGGGGGAAGGTCAGACTCTGACCTTTCTGATAGTTTCAGCAAGAAAAGTAGTTTTCGCTACCCTGCTCTTTGCTGGTGTGAACACTTCTCGAACAGAAAGGACCTGCTCAGGGGGATGACTTGAAAAGTATACGTGTGATGCCTTTTTCTCACCTTGGAGGTTTCTGCCAAGAAGCCCGGCAAGAGGTTGTGCCTGTGCACCCCCCCAGGCCTGTGCTCCCCACCCCCTTCCCGACTCAGGGGTACCCGGGATGGGGAGGGGAGCTGCTCCTGGAAATCGGCCCACCACACTGGCCTCTTTTTTTCTCTGCTGCTGTCTAGACTGTTGACCTTTGACCCCCCCCCCCCCCCGCCCCTTGGCATGTCTGAACCCAGAAGTCCCTTGTCGTTGTCGCGGTTCGTGGAACAAAGCCTCATTCTTCTCTGTGGCCCCAGCCTCCCCCCAAGACCACTGGAAGCTCTCCTGAGCCTGCAGCCAGCCTGGGGCTCTGATGGAGGTGCCTCCCCTCGTGGCCACGAGCCCCATGGCCTTCATCCACAGGCTTCTGTGGAGCCGCAAAGGGCTTTGATTATATATCCCCAGTTAAATTTCCCGTCTCCTGGAACAAGTGCCTGGTAAAGGGAGGAGAATCGTCTGCATTTCTGCATAAAGAAAGTGTGTTAGAGGCCAGGACCCCCCTCACAACTCCACGTCTTGTGAGTCGCTTCTTGGATGAACGCCACTCAGAGACCCCATCCTCCAATTCGGGGGTAGTGGTCGCAACTGAGTTTCAGAAGCTCCCAGACCTCCAGGGGCTCCAGTCCAGCCTGAGCCGCTCCCCCGACTTGAAATCCGTTCCCCCTCCTCCCTCTCCTCACGCAAGCCTCCCCTTCAGCTGCCAGAGACCCACAGAAGTGCCTGCCCCCACAGTACACGTGGGGCACAGACAGGAAAGAGAGAAACACCCCCAGACCCTGGCTCCCCGCTCCTCTGGGTGGGGCTCACCCAAGCCGTTCACAGGGGTGGGACCTGGACCAGGGGCTTTTGGGTCCTGCACCCTTTGAGGAAGCCCCAGATAAAGCTGGTGGGGAATTGGCCTCTCTGCCCGCAAGGCCTGGCTGGAGGCCACAGGAGATCCATCTGGGCCTTGGGGGTACCTGGCATGTTTCCAGGGCTCCCTCCACGTCTCAGGTTTCTATCTTGTCGTAAATCTCTCTCCAGGAAGAGCCCCGCCTCCTGGAGGTGACCCTGTGTCCTGTCCCCAAAGGAGAGACCAGCCCCTGCAGGCTTGGGGTGGCTTCTCCCCGACCCCAGGGAGACCCCTTGAGTGCCTTGTCTGAAAGCCTCGTGTCTGGGACCCCAGGCCGGACTTTGCTGGGGGCTGGGCCCTGGGACACCCCAAACTTGACGTCCCAGAAAGCAAATAAAACAGCTAAAATGTGCAGTCTCTTGTGTGTCTTTATGAGCAGCTGGCGTCCACTAGGGTCACCCTCAGCCTGGGGTTATTGGCTGGCAGAGGGGGCCCCGAAGCGCCAGTGTTTCTGTCCTTGGCATGTGACCTGGCTCTTGGTTTGTGGTGGGTGCTACGAGTGTGCCGAATGGATACTGACGAGAGCATTACTGTACTGAGTTTTCTTCCTCCTGCAACCAACCCCCTGCCTTTGTTTTGATGCCCAGAGAGGTTGATTAACTTGCTTATGGTCACACAGCAAGGCGGGGGGCGGGCAGGAATTTGAATCATGACCACGTTGATCCCCAGGGTGTGTGGAATCCCCCTGTGGAGATGCCGTTACCACTTTTTCCAGATGGGGAAACGAGACTTTGTCAGCTGAAACCCTGATTCCAGGGACAGGAGGAATGGGAATGGGAACCCAAGCTGGATCTGAGAAGCTTAAATTCTAGAAACAGGATTCGGTCATCCCCCTGCGTCTGATCTCAGCCAGAATGGGGATGTTCCAGGGTCGATGGCCTTCCAGGAAGAAGGGGCTTCAGCAATAAGGAAATGGCTTGTCTTTGGGAACATGGGTCCCAGGGTCTACACACCTCCCAATGCATAAGTAAGATACGGGAGGTAGGGGGCGATCTGAGTCCCACTTCACTGAGCCTCAGTTTCCCCATACTCAGGTGTCTTGTGTGAGCTCTGGCACACAGGAGTTACTTAATAAGTACAGATGTTATTAACTTCCTCCTCTAGGAAGCCCTCCTGGCTGCCTAGGTACCTCCTCTGCCTCCCATAGCTGCCTGCCTGCCCCCATCCCCATGCCAACATGCTCTGGGTAGTAACTGACAGGTCCTGTGGGAGCCCTCAGGACAGTCAGATCTGTCTGGGGTCCCCGGTGTTGCCCCCAGCACAGCGCAGGGCATGTAATGGTGGTGGTTTAGTCACTAAATCGTGTCCGACTCTTGCAACCCCATGGACTGTAGCCTGCCAGGCTCCTCTGGCCATGGGATTCTCCAGGCATACTGGAATGGGTTGCCATTTCCTTCCCTCGGGGTACTTCCCTACCCAGGGATCGAATCTGTGTCTCCTGCATTTGTAGGCAGATTCTTTACCGACTGATCCACCAGGGAAGCCCTGGGTCTGTAACAGCGGTGCAATGAACCCCTGGGAAGCCCCCAAATCAGGTAGTGTGGAGGGGTTTCCTGAAATGTCTCTTTCCCACTTCCCGCTCTGGAAACTAGGTCTTTATCTCAGAGGTGAACCCTGTCAGCAGTTTCCTGGGTATCACTGGGTTGTCATTTCCTCCTCCTGGGGGATCTTCCCAACCCAGGGATCCAACACGCGTCCCTTTTGTGTCTCCTGCGTTGGCAGGCGGATTCTTCACCACTGAGCTACCTGGGGAGCCACGCGCCAGGTTCAATCCCTAGGTCGGGGAAAACCCGTGAAGGAGGAAATGGCAAGCCCACTTCCACTCACTGCCTGGAAAACTCCGTGGGCAGAGGAGTCTGGCGGGCCCCAGTCCATGGGGCTCGCAGAGTCGGACGGGGCTGCGTGAGCGCGCACTCACACTATAGGAGAGAGGCGGCGCGGGGTGCTGGTGTCCTGTTCCCCCGCCGAGTGCTGGTGTCCTGTTCCCCCGCCGAGTGCTGGTGTCCTGTTCCCCCGCCGAGGAGTGCTGGTGTCCTGTTCCCCCGCCGAGGAGTGCTGGTGTCCTGTTCCCCCGCCAGCAGGGGGCGCGGGGAGGCGCAGGCGCCTCGCGGACGGGGGAGGGGGTGTCGAGCCCCCGAAGGTCAGGCACCCCCTCCAGCTGAGGCCCCATCCTGCCAGTTCTCTGCCTCTAGAGCCGGGTCCTCTGTTGGCTGAGGCTCCTAAGAATTGCCTGCCGCGCGCTGGGCTTGGGACTGGAGACACACCAGGAAACCAGCAGCTCCTGGTCTGGGGGCGCAGCACCGGGGGCCCCAGCTGTGATGGAGGACAGACAGGCAGCTGAAGGGTCCGGGGCATATTCAGGGAGGCTCATTCAAGGGTAGGGCTTGGTCCCCTTCCACAGAGTTTCCCTCAGCTCCCGCCTGGATGTTCTCCATCTTAAAGGTGAGGGTCTCAGACTAGCGTCCTTCCAGTTCTACCCACCTGCCTGGGCCCCCCTCCACCTCTCACATTCTTGGTGGCTCCTGTTGGCCCACAGGAGAAAGCCAGGCTCTTAGGCTGGACATCTGAACCCCTTTTCCCTGGTCTCTGCTGATCCCAGTTTGTCTTTTCTGCCTGGAAGTCCACCACCCCGCTCCCCCCCGCCCCCCGCTCCATTTACACCTAGAGAACTCCTATGCATTCCTCAAAACCCTAAGTTTTGGGGGAAGATGCTGAGGTCATCTTGGGACACTTTGAGTGGAATGGGTCTGGGAAGGGGTAAAAAGGGCAAAGTACCACACCGGAAACCCCAAGCTAGTCCTTCTCCCACACCCTCTCTAACCTTCTTACCAGCTCCTTCCTGCCCTGGCAGCTTGCCAGGCATTCAGCAATTTCTGCAAGTGCCCAGACCTGCCTGGACATGTCCTGGTCCCCCGGAAGACAAGAAGGATGGGTTCAGGCTACCCACCCAACACCCCTGCGCATGCACACACACACACTGTGGCATTGGTGGTGATTACTGAAAAACAGAAGTGCAGTGAGGGCAAAGTGGGTCAGTGGGAGTGAGGGAGGCAGAAAAAATGTGGACACTTTTTAGCTGTTTCTTCTTCTAAGTTGCATGTTTAGGGTGAGGACACCCAGAGACAGCGAGGTCCCCACCCAGCCAAGGAGGAGGACTTGGGGTATTGGGTGACTGGACCTCTACACTAAGTCACCCACAGGGCTGCCCCATTCTGGGCTTCCATCTCCCCTGTATCAGGGAGCTGACTTCCACATGCTCACACAGCAGGCGCTCCATAAATGCACATGGTCTGTGAAACCATTACAGGAACAGGCATGCAAACCAGGGTGCTGAAGCAGGCCGTGTGGGGGCGGCTTGGGGTTCCGGGCAGTGAGCACGTGGGGCCTCAAGCCCGAGGCCTCAGCTGACCCACTTCCGGCCTGGCCTGGGCTGCCTTGGTGACCCCCGCCCCCCTGGCCAGGGTCTGAGCTGACCACTTCTGTCCCCCTTTCTTCCTGCAGTCCAGGCACGCCCTGCTGACTCATGCTCAGCTGGCCTCATCCTTCCCCGACTAAGCGATGATTTGGGGGGTCTGGCAGAGCCCCAAACCCAGAAGGCAGGGAAGTCACGGCTGACTGGAATCATCACAGAGGAGAACCATACCCCAGACTTAACTGCCTGACAAATGAAAACCTGCCCTTGATAAGGAAAAAAATGAATACTTTAGGGATAGTCCATTAGGATCCATTTCAAACTTTCCAGCCACCAAAGAAATCCATTTTAAAAAAAAAAGAAAAGATAATCCAGGGACAGAGAGGTTGATATCTGTGATGCATTTAACTAACCAAGAAAAACTTCCAGGACATAGAAGCCCCCCCCCTCCCCCACAAGACACACTAGACAGAAAAATGGGTAAATGGTAGGAATTCCCTGGCAGCCCAATGGTTAGGACTAAGTTCTTTCTCTGCCAGGGCACAGGTTTGATCCCTGGTCAGGGAACTAAGATCCCACAAGCTGTGTGATGCAGCCAAAAAAAAAGAGAGAGAGAAGAAAAGAAATAGAAATGGGCAAATGGTATTTTTTTTTCCCATAACAACAACCACAAACTGGGTGACTTACAACAGCAGAAAGTTTATTCCTTCACAGTTCTGGAGGCTGGAAGTCCCAAATCAAATTGTCACACAACTGGAGGCTATGGAAAAGAATCGGCCCCAGGCCTCTCTGTTGGCTTCTGATGGCTTCCGGCACGGCTCAGGGTCTCTTGGCTAGTGGCTGCATCACTCCAATCTCTGCTTCCATCTTCATGTGACCCCTTGCAAGGAAATCAGTCTTGTAGCGGGGGTTTAGGACCCACCCTACTCCAGCATGACCTCAGCTTAACATAATTACATCGACAAAGACCCTCATGGTCACAATCTGAGGTTCTGGGTGGACATGAATTTGGGGACTCATTGTGCTTCCTGGATGGCACAGTGGTAAAGAATCCACCTGTCAATGCAGAAGACACAAGAGATGTGGGTTTGAGCTTTGGACTGGGGAGACCCCCTGGAATAGGAAATAACCGACTGCTCCAGTATTCTTTCCTGGAAAATTCCATGGACAGAAGACCCTGGTGAGCTACCATCCATGGGGTCACAAAGACTCAGATATAACTGAGTGACTAAGCGCACACATACACACATTCAATGCAGTGCAGGAATGAACAGGTAATTCCAGGAAGATGAACCCAGGACAACCAATAACTAGGAACTCAATCTAGTCACCAGTGAACAGAAGTCACTGAGATGTCTCTTCACTATCAGGAAGGGGACAGAGTCACTGGTGATCAGGCCTGAGAATTGACTTGACCATTAAGAAGAACGGTTTGCTCATGCTAGTATAGCTAAGAATGGCTAGAATCGCCCTCCTGGCCATTCTAGTCTTGGTGTGAACCCCAGAGAACTCTACATGTGCATGCCTTCCCAGCAGCATGGTTCATAATAAGGATCTGGAAACTAGGGAAAGGTTAGAGTGTGCTCCTATGAACACAGTACTATATAGCAGTGAAAAAGGATGAGCCAGACTTACAGTCAAAAATCTCCAACTCAGATCGTTCAGTGAAGATAACTGTAACAGTGTGATACGTTTTTATAAAGTTTTTTTAATTTGCATTTTTGTATTGTGAAAAAATATGTATAACATACATAGGATTTGCCATTTTAAAGTGGACTGTGAGTGACTTAAGCATATTTCCAATGTTGAGCACACACATAACACAAACCACTGGGGACTTCCCTGGTGTCCAGGGGGTCAGGGAACGAGATTCCACATGCTGCCACCAAGTCCTGGTGCAGCCAAATAAATAAGCAAATATTTTTTTAAAAAGCACAAAACATCACTATTATCTACTTCCAAAACTTTTCCGTCACACCTAAACAGAAACTCTGAAACCATTAAGCAATAATTCCTCATTTCTCCCTCTCCTCCTCCAGCCGCTGGTAACCTCAAATCTACTTTGTCTTTATGAATTTGCATGTTCTAGATATTTCATACCAGTGGAACCATATAATGTTTGTCCTTCTGTGACTGACATTTCACTCAGCATAATTTTCAAGGTTCATTTGCATTGTGGCACAGATCAGAATGTCATTCCATTTTTATGGCTGAGTAGTATTCCATTGTGAGGATACACCAAATTTTGTTTACCCATTTGGCTCTTGGTGGACATTTGCATTGCTTTCACCTTTTGGCTATTGTGAATAGTGCTGCTGTGGACATTGGTGTACAAGCTCAGTTTGAGTCCCTGCTTTTCAATTCTTCTAGAAAAATATCCAGAAGTGGAATTGCTGGATTATATGGTCATCCTGTGTTTAGATTTTGAGGAATGCCAAACCATTTTCCACAGCAGCTGCACCATTTCACATCCCCCCCAGAGGCACAAGAGGGTTCCAATTTCTTCACACCAACACTTGCTATTTTCATAACAGCCATGCTAATGGGTATAAAGTGATATCTGCTTGTAGTTTTGATTTGCATTTCCCTAATGATTAATGTTGTGAGCATCTTTTGACCTACTTCATGGCCATTTGTATATTTTCCTTGGATGTAAAATTCTTTGCCCATTTTTAAATTGAATATTTGTTGTTGAGTTGTAGGAGTTCTTTATATATTTTGGATAATGAACCCTCATGAGACATATGACATGTAAATATTTTATAGCTTTCTTGTAAATTCTTTGGGGTTTTCTATGACATAGGGTCATGTCATCTGTGAATAGAGATAGTCTTACTTCTTCCTTTCCAATTCAGATGTCTGTTATTTATTTTTCTTACCTTATTGCTCTCGTTGAAACTTCCAAATATCACATTGAAATAGCAGGGGTCAAAGTATACATTCTTGGCTTGTTTCTTGTCCTGGGGGAAAGATTTCAGCCTCTCCCTATTGATGATGAAATTAGCTGTGGCATTTTCATAAATGTGTTTTATCATGTGTGAGAATTTTCCTATTCTTCTGAGGGTTTTTACCATAAAAGGATATTGGATTTTCAAGTGCCTTAAATGCATCAATTGAGATGATCAAGTGGATTTTTTTTCTCTTCATTTTATTACTAGGATGTGTTGCATTGATTGATTTTCTTATGTTGAGACATGCTAACCTTCCTGAGATCAATCCTACTTGGTTATGATACATAGCTCTTTTAATATGCCTTTGCATTCAGTTTGGGTTTGCTAACGTTTGGTTACCAATGTTTCATCTTTATTTGTAAGGGATATTGATCTGCGTCTTATGAAAAACCTCAGTCTTCCTCCTTTGTTTCTCCCTGTTTTTTGTTTTTTTTTTCCTCAGTCACACCACACAGCAAGTCAGCACATGGGATCTTAGTTCCCAAACCAGGGCTCAAACCCACACCCCCTGCATCCCTGCATTGGAGGTTCAGCGTCGTCACCACTGGATCTCCAGGCAAGCCCCCTCTGCTGCTCCTTCACTCCCGCCACTGCCCCTCACAGCGCTTCTGACCCCAAAAATGCTTCTGTATTTTCCCCCACAACAAGCAATTCTCAAGCAACTCACCTGGGTGATAATTTAACTCCATTCTGATACTTTCTACCTGGAGATAGCATCAGATTCCACAGGTTAAGGGCTCAGTCTTGCAAGACGGGCCCCACTTGAGATGCGAATCA